TTTCCACTTCTCGATTTTTTTTTCCAAAATCTTCGGAGCAGCATTTATTGGTTCCGTTTCCGTCTGTAGCCGGCGTCGTCCCCTTTTTTTCGAGCATATTTGTTGTCCTTGGTCATTCGTCGAGCTGCATGGCTGCCAATTCTCCATACGCGATAGTTTTCCGCCACCGGCCGTTGGACTCGCGGAACCAACAAGCATTTCATTAAGCTCCGCCTTTCTCCCAAGAGCCGCAATCTCAGCGATCCTTTCCTTAGATTCCGCAAGCTCCCCATGTTCCTCCGCTGCACGGACATCGCTTGTACAACTCATTGATTTTCCCGATTTTTGGGAGATTTCGCTCTTGCTTGTCCGACACGTCATGCCGCCAGCAGAGTTTTCATTCACCAACCGTCATACGTCTCTATTTTGCTCCATCTCCAGTGCGCCGGCCGACTTAATCCTCTATCGCTTATTCTGCTCTTAAGGAGCGCATGCTTCGTTCCTTGGATTAGATCCGTTCTGACCCTAGCCTACCTCTTTAATTATTCCCTTCCCTTATCCCGCCATGTTGTCTTTTAAGCTACCATCGACGAATTCCACGGCACACAGCGCCCAACGAGCTGCTGCACGTACTCGTGGATGATGGGAGCGTGGCGTCGCCTTTTTTCTAGTTTTGACGGATTCTTCTGCTCTCCGCGTTCCCTCCTTCGCTCCCCTTTAGGAAGCTGGCGTCCTACACGGCGCCCAAGGAGCTGCTGCACGAGGTGAGGTGCATGCATCTGCGCTGCGACACTGACTCACCTCGCCCCTTGTGCTCTCTCACTCTCCCCTCTCTCACTCTCCCCTCTCTCACTCTCCCCTCTCTCTCCCCCCCTCTCTCTCTCTCCCCTCTCTCTCTCTCCTCCCCTCGCCAGGAAGCTGGCGTCGTACACAGCGCCCAAGGAGCTGCTGCACGAGCTGCCGCGCGGAGAGGCGGAGGAAGAGGTGCGACGGGGGGTGGGGAGGGGAACGGGGTGGGGGGGAAGGGGAAGGTGAGGTGGGTGGGTGGGGGAGTGAAGGGGACGGGAGAGAGGCGGAGAGATTGTTGAGGCGTGCGAGGAGGGGGGGGAGATAAAGCTGTAGGGAGGTCAGACGGAGGTAACGATGTGAGGGAGGGACGAGGGGGAAGTGAGGGGGAAGAGAAGAGGGAGGGAGAAAGGTGAGAGGAATTGGGGTGAGGAAATGGTAGGCTCTGCGGGTAGCGGGAGAGTGGGAGAAACTGTTAGATTGTTGGGCCGAATAGGGCAGGCATGTTGCTGTGTGGTATGAGGAATGAAGGTATGCCCTTCCGTCCCATACTTCCCTTCCCACACTGCCTCTTTCAATCGCCCTCGCCTCCTCGTTATCATGTCCCACTCCCTTTCCACCTCTCCACCTCTCCACTTCTCTGCCTCCCACTCTCCCTCTCTGCTCCCTCTCCAGGTTGCATGGCTAAAGGAACCATCACACATCATGTTGCGTGTGTGACAATGTGACCAGCTGATTTCTGAGCAATTGGCAACCCCCACTTACCCTCTCTCCCCCTCCCCCCCTCCCTCTTCTTCCCCCAGCCGGTGGGGTTCAAACAAGAAGCCATCGCGCATCATAGACAGGGAGGATGACTGTCGGCGCCGCTGCCTCTTGTAACCTTGTTCATGCCCCACTCTCCGTCCCTCCTTCTGTTCCCCCTCCCCCCCAAACCCCCTTTTCCTCCCCTCACCAGCCCGCGGAGGTTTAAGAAGCCATCGCGCATCATAGACAGGGAGGACGACTACCGGCGCCGGCCGCCTCAACCGGATTATCTCGCCCGACCGCCATGATGCCTTTGCCATGGTATGTATGTACGGCCCGTTCTCCATTATACAGCCCGGTCGCAATGGTGCGTACGAAGCTGACGTGGGACTGACGGGATCTTGAAGTGTCTAGATTGTTATGCCTGTTGCTTGCAATGCTGACGGAGGGAGGAGGAGGCGAAGTCGCAAGGTGGCTAAAACGTTGCTGCATGTATGTGTGTGTTGCTCTCGTTCGCTTTCTCTCTTGCCCTCCTCTCCCTCTTCCCATCCTCCAGGAAAACGCGACGCCTGATGCTGCAGTTCGCACATACGCGGACGCGATCGAGTGGGAGGCACTGAATCGGGACAAGGAGATGTTGGGGCGCCAACACATATGCTGCATGTATGTGTGTGTGTGTGTGTCTCTCTCCCTCTCTCCCCTCACCCTTACCCCATGCACCAGGGTGACGCCACCCCTGATGCCGCAGTGCGCACGTACGCGAGACGTGATCAAGGAGGAGGCGTTGGAAGCGCGAGAAGGAGGAGACGCTGAGGCAGATCGCCAAGAAGAAGGCGGAGGAGGCTGAGAGGAAGGCTGCTGAGCTCTCCTCCGCGCCCACCAAGGCCCAAGGCGCCGCTGCCAGCCCCCGCTGCCGCTGCTGCCCGCCCCCTGCTGCTGCAGCTCCCAGTGCTGCTGCTGCTGCTGCTGCGGGGAGCAAGAGGAGGAATCGGTTGGGACGTGGCGGGAGGGGGAGGGCCTGGTGCTGCGGAGGTTGAAGCCAAGTGAGTGTGGTGGGGTGGACGAGGGGGATGAAGGTTGGGAGGGGGAGGGCCTGGTGCTGCGAGGTTGAGGTCAAGTGAAGTATGGGAGGGTTGGGTGGGGGAGGGGAGGTTCTGTGTGTAGTGTAGGTGTGTGTGTGTGTGATGTTCACTCTTTCGCATCCCTTCACCTTAGTTCTTTTGATCTTGCTGCCGCTGCTGCCCTGTCGGGGTGGCTTCAAATGTATGTGGTGCGTGCGTACACCATGCGTACACCTTGGCCTTGGAACTCTGTAACTCGCAACGTGTGGATCGCTCGGCTCGGCTCGGCTTTCCTGTGCTAACTTCAATGCCTCCCTCCCTCACTCCTCGTGTCGTTGCCCGCTGCGGTGGATTGCAGGAAGCCCAAGGCAGCAGCTGATTGGGATGCTCCAGATTGCCACTCCCGCGCTGCTAGGTGAGAGACCGTCACATGCTAGGTGAGACACCGTCACATGCTAGGTGAGACACCGTCAACATGCTAGGTGAGACACCGTCACATGCTAGGTGAGAACCGTCACATGCTAGGTGAGAGACCGTCACAATGCTAGGTGAGAGACCGTCACATGCTAGGTGAGACACCGTCAACATGCTCTCCTGCTGGCCGCTTCTGCTCTTTTCCTCTGCGTTTTGTCGCACTGCACTGCACGGCACACTGCTGCTCTTTGCATAAGCCACCACCATGTCTCGCATTTTCTACCATACCTACCACCTAGGGTTGTGTTGTGGGTCAGTCGTTGCACCACCATCCCCTGCCAATTCTGATCTAGGGTTCCCCAGATTAGCTCGTGTTCTCCACCTCAGTTCATTCCCCCTCTCCCTGCCTATCCCCTTTCCCCGTCTAACTCCGCTCCCCTCCTATCCGTACCCGCCCCTCCCTCCTCCCCCCCCACCCACCCTCTCATCTCTCCTCTTTTCCCTCCCCCAGTCGCTGGCACGCCCCTACCCTGGGGAGTGCAGTGCGGTCGACGCCACCCCCACGCGCGAGTGCATTCTGGATATCTCACTAATCCTCAACCTCATCTGTTCCCCTACCTTCCCTTCGCCTCCCCTCCCCTCCCCTCCCCTCCCCTCCGCTCCCCCTGCCCTCCCCTCCCCTTCCCTCCTCCCCTCCCCTTCCCTCCCTCCCCTCCCCTTCCCTCCCTCCCCTCCGCTCCCCCTCCCTCCCCTCCGCTCCCCCTCCCTTCCTCCCCTCCTCTTCCCCTCCCCAGTCGTTGGGACGCTCCCACCCCTGGTCGGGGCAGTGCAGTGGGACGCCACCCCCACGCCCGGCCCCCGCCGCAACCGATGGGATGAAACCCCCTCCCACGGCGGAGTAATGCCGGACGACGCCACCCCCTCCGCGCTCCCGGGCGGCGGCGGCGCCACCCCGGGGCTGGGCGGCGGGGCCACGCCGGCCGGCATGGCTTGGGACGCCACGCCGAAGCTCTCGGCCGGCGCCACCCCGACCCCGAAAAAGACGCGGTCCAGATGGGACGAAACGCCGGCCGGCGGAGGCGTTACCCCCGCGGGCGGCGGGGGCGGCGCCACCCCGTCCGCTGCTGTAGGCATGACCCCCCTCGGGGATGACTCCGGGGGGGGGTGACATTTGGGGGAGCTACACCTGGTGGGTTCGGGGTCACACCGGTGGGAGGAATGGACATGGCAACTCCCACCCCGGGTCAAATCGCCCTACGGGGGCCGCTCACCCCGGAGCAATTCACCATGCTGCGATGGGAGAGGGAGATTGAGGAGCGGAACAAGCCACTCTCAGATGAGGAGCTGGATGCCATGTTTCCCTTAGACGGATATAAGGTGCTCGAACCCCCTGCCTCGTACGTCCCCATCCGCACCCCTGCGAGGAAGCTCCTCGCGACGCCGACCCCGATGGGAGGAGCAGGGGGGGGTGCGACGCCGCTGTATGCGATTCCGGAGGAGGATCGGCAGCAGCTGTTTGACGTGGGGAAGGAGGTGCCGGGGCTGCCGAACCTGAAGCCGGAGGACTACCAGTACTTTGGCGCGCTGCTGAACGAGGAGGAGGAGGAGAAGATGAGCGCGCAGGAGAAGACCGAGAGGAAGATCATGAAGCTGCTGCTCAAGGTGGGTGGGGGAGAAGAGGGAAGTGGGTTGGGGTTGGAATGGGAAAGAGGGAGGAAGATGGGTTGGTGTGGGTGGGATGGTAAGGAGGAGGTGCTCGTTCTCACCTGCTTGCTTCTTGCACTCTAACCCACACTCTCTTCCACTACTCACACTTATCGGTTTTATCTCCCCTGTACCCCTCTGCACCACCCCACCCCGCATCCACGGTTACAGGTGAAGAACGGCACGCCTCCCCAGCGCAAGACGGCGCTGAGGCAGCTGACAGACAAGGCGCGGGAGTTTGGTGCGTCCGCCCTCTTCAACCAGATCCTGCCGCTGCTCATGTCGCCCACCCTGGAGGACCAGGAGAGGCATCTGCTCGTCAAGGTGAGTCAATGCTGGTCAACGCTGGTGAACGCCGGCCGGTCAGCGCTGGTCAATGCTGTTATAGCTACCCTTTTCCAATCACATCCTCCCGCTGCTGATTTTGCACAAGATGCCACAAGATGCCACTTGCACCTCATCACATCCCTCCGCTCTCCTTACACCTCATCTTGCCCACACCACAGGTCATCGATCGCATTCTGTACAAGCTGGACGAGTTGGTGCGCCCCTTCGTGCACAAGATCCTGGTGGTCATCGAGCCGCTGCTCATTGACGAGGACTACTATGCACGTGTGGAAGGCAGAGAGATTATCTCCAACCTCAGCAAGGTAAGCTGGTGGGGAGGGAGATCAACTGAGAGGGCCTTAGCAAAGGGCTGTGGTTTTTGGGCCTCTGCAAGTGTAAGCTGGACATTTTCTGACTCGACTCAAAGCAAAGGGCCAGGAGATCATCTGTAGCGGCAAGTCTTTTCTTGATTGATCTGCACAGTTCGTGTGGCTGAAAGCTCTCAGAGCCAAGGTGCAAAAAAAACGACGTTTTTTTCAAATTTTGATCGTAAAATACCGTATTGTAAGAAATGATCGTAAAAAACGATAAAAAAACTGTTTTTGAAAATAAATACTTTTGGTGCAAAAAAACCTTCGTTTTTTTCAGTAAAAATACCAAAAATGCTGCTGAAACAAGGGGATTGATTGGTGAGAAGAACAAGGGGGGCCGTTAGAAGTGCTGATGATGCAGCGGAAGATCGGTAGAAGTGCTTTTGTGATCAGAACAGCATCTTTGAACAGCAACAGAAAAACGCATTTTTTCTCAAAAGGTACCGTAAAAAACCATTGAAAAAAACAATCGTATTTTTCGACAATCGTTTTTTTCTACCTTGCTCAGAGCGCTTGGAAACCTTGTGTATTCCACTTTCCGGTATGAGAAAACAAGGCTTTTATCTTCCTATCTTGACACTTTTGTTTCTGTACGTCCTCGCATGGCATGTGTCCCGTCGTCACAACCCCTGCTTTTCTTCCTCGTGTCCTTAGTCTTGCTTCTCCCCTTGTCTTTCCACTCACAAGCAGCAGGCCTGGCAACGATGATCGCAGCCATGCGGCCGGACATAGACAACATGGACGAGTATGTGTGCAACACCACCGCACACGAATTGCCAGTGCTGGCCTGACGTCCTCATTTCCGCCTCACTCACACCCTTATTTTCCTCTCTCCCCCTGTCATCTCCTCTTCTAACAGGCAGCAGGCCTTGCAACGATGATTGCAGCCATGCGGCCCGACATAGACAACGTGGACGAGTACGTGCGCAACACCACCGCGCGCGCCTTCTCCGTGGTGGCCTCCGCGCTCGGCATCCCCGCTCTGCTGCCCTTCCTGAGGGCCGTGTGCGCCAGCAAGAAGTCGTGGCAGGCGCGGCACACGGGCATCAAGATCGTGCAGCAGATTGCGATTCTCATGGGGTGCGCCGTGCTGCCGCACCTGCGCTCCCTGGTTGATATCATTGAGCATGGGCTGGGAGACGACAACCAGAAGGTGAGAGTGGGGGTGGGGTTGTGCATGTGTGTTGACTCGATCATTGAACTGTCTCTTGCTTGTGAGTATTTATCAAGCATGGGCCGGGGGACAACGACAACCACAAGGTGAGACTTGGGGCGGAAAGGGATCCGATGAGAATGTAGGGATAGGAATGTGTTTGCGACATCACGACACAACTAGGGTTGCTGATGGATCACTGACCATGGGCTGGCTGGGGGACCACAAACCAGAAGTCGCCATCACATGGTGGTTCCTCGCAGATGCACTACCCCAAGTGTCAGCACACCATCCGCCAGAGCTCTGACTTGGGTGCTCTCTCTCACATCCCTCCATTCGCTTTCTTCTCTCTCTCTTCTCCTTCCATGGCTCCAGGTTCGCATCGCACCATCACGTCCCTCTCCCTCGCAGCTATAGGAGAGGCATCGGCGCCCTACAGCATCGAGAGCTTTTACTTCGTGCTCTCGCTCACAACCATTCCATCCATGTCTCCCTCCCTTCCTTCCCCCCCATCCCCCCTCTGCCTCTCCCCACCTGTCCCCATCACCTGTCCCCCCCTCTCCCACCTCTCCCCACCTGTCCCCATCACCTGTCCCCCCCTCTCCCACCTCTCCCCACCTGTCCCCATCACCTGTCCCCCCCTCTCCCACCTCTCCCCACCTGTCCCCATCACCTGTCCCCCCCTCTCCCACCTCTCCCCACCTGTCCCCATCACCTGTCCCCCCCTCTCCCACCTCTCCCCACCTGTCCCCATCACCTGTCCCCCCCTCTCCCACCTCTCCCCACCTGTCCCCATCACCTGTCCCCCCCTCTCCCACCTCTCCCCACCTGTCCCCATCACCTGTCCCCCCCTCTCCCACCTCTCCCCACCTATCCCCATCACCTGTCCCCCCCTCTCCCACCTCTCCCCACCTGTCCCCATCACCTGTCCCCCCCTCTCCCACCTCTCCCCACCTGTCCCCATCACCTGTCCCCCCCTCTCCCACCTCTCCCCACCTGTCCCCATCACCTGTCCCCCCCTCTCCCACCTCTCCCCACCTGTCCCCATCACCTGTCCCCCCCTCTCCCACCTCTCCCCACCTGTCCCCATCACCTGTCCCCCCCTCTCCCACCTCTCCCCGCCTGTCCCCATCACTCAGGTGCGCACTATCACAGCGCTCTCTCTGGCAGCGCTGGCAGAGGCGTCAGCACTGTACAGCATTGAGAGCTTTGACTCTGTGCCCAAGCGGCTGCTTACTTGTGATCCCTCTCTCTCCCCCCCACCCTCCTTACTCAGGTGCGCACCATCACGGCGTTATCCCTGGCAGCGCTGGCAGAGGCGTCAGCCCCCTACGGCATTGAGAGCTTTGACTCCGTGCTCAAGCCGCTGTGGAAGGGTATTCGTGCGCACCGCGGGAAGGTTCTTGCGGCCTTCCTGAAGGCGATCGGGTTCATCATCCCCCTGATGGACGCCATGTATGCCAGCTACTACACCCGCGAGGTACGGAGAGACAGGGGTGCATGTGTATTGGGTTGGGTTCATCATAGGGGGCTCATGGGGGCACATGTGTTGGGTTCATCATAGGGGGCTCATGGGGGCACATGTGTGGGGTTCATCATAGGGGGCTCATGGGGGCACATGTGTGGGGTTCATCATAGGGGGCTCATGGGGGCACATGTGTGGGGTTCATCATAGGGGGCTCATGGGGGCACATGTGTGGGGTTCATCATAGGGGGCTCATAGGGGCACATGTGTGGGGTTCATCATAGGGGGCTCATGGGGGCACATGTGTGGGGTTCATCATAGGGGGCTCATGGGGGCACATGTGTGGGGTTCATCATAGGGGGCTCATGGGGGCATATGTGTGGGGTTCATCATCCCCCTGATGGACGCCATGTACGCCAGCTACTACACTCGTGAGGTGCGTGGGCGATGGGGGGAGATGGGAGGGAAGGACTGGGATACATCGGTCCTTATGGGTGGGTATGGTGGGGTACGTCTCTTCATCATTCCCCTGATGGACGCCATGTATGCGAGCTACTGCACACACGAGGTGAGTGGGAGAGGGATGTGTAGGGGAAGGGTGGGGGTGGCATGAACGGGAGGGCACGGGGCGGGGGCGGAATCACCAGATCATCCATCTTTTGGATGCCATGCATGCGAGCGACTGTGCATGCTGGGTGACTGCACTCTGTGTGCATGGACTGACAATGCCTCTTCTTTTCCTTGCATCTCCAACTCTCCCACCCTCCCTTCCCCTCCCTTGCCTCCCCTCCCCTCCCCTTCCCACCTCCCTGCTCGTTCAGGTGATGGTGGTGCTGATCCGCGAGTTCCAGTCACCAGACAAGGAGATGAAGAAGATCGTGCTCAAGGTGGTGAAGCAGTGTGTGGGCACGGACTGACCCTGTCTCTTCCTCCCTCTCCACCTCTCCTCTTCTCCCCTCCCGCCCACTTATAGGTGATGGTGGTGCTGATTCGCGAGTTCCAGTCGCCGGACGAGGAGATGAAGAAGATAGTGCTGAAGGTGGTGAAGCAGTGTGTGGGCACGGACGGCGTGGAGCCGGACTACATCCGCACGGAGATCCTCCCCGAGTACTTCAAGCACTTCTGGGTGCGCCGCATGGCGCTCGATCGACGGAACTACAAGCAGCTCGTTGAGACCACAGTGGAGATTGCTAATAAGGTTAGTGGATTGACCAGTTGGGTCCTTGTTTGGGGTGCAACAGCCCAGCAGGAGATCCTCCCCGAGTACTTCAAGCACTTCTGGGTGCGCCGCATGGCGCTGGATAGGAGAAACTACAAGCAGCTGGTTGAGACGATGGTGAAGATTGCCAATAAGGTGTGTGAGTTGGGTATTGAGGGAGGGGAGGGGGGAGTATGGGTAGGTTGTTGACTGGTTGGGTCCTTGTGTTGCAGTGTCTAATCTTATCCGAGCCGACGTTGACTCAGTGGTAGCAGTTGCAACACGACCAATGGAGGCAGAAGAGGGAAGGGAGGTTGAGGAGGGGTAGGGGAGGGGACTGTGCAAGGCAGGTGAAACGGGAATCAGGACGTGGGAGTTGTTATCAGAAGCTCCGCAAACCATGTGTTGTCACAAGTGGAAATCTGGCGAAGGGACTCACATGATTCGCAGAGTTTCTTATAACAACTCCCACGTCCTGATTCCCATTCTCGCTGCCTTGCACCATCCAATCCCCCATCCCCTCCCTCCTCTGCCTCCCTTCCCTCTTCTGCCTCCATTGGCTGTCTGTGTTGCAACTGCTCTCATTGTGTCAACGCCGGCTCGGTTGCGACAGGAGAATGTGGTGTAGCAGCGTGAGGGGACAGTCAGTGTGCGACCAGGCGGGCATGAGTGACATAAGTAGTTGCATTGCAGGGCATTACAGCAGAGTGACGTGATTGCAGGGCAGGGTGGGTCGTATTTGGCAGAAGACCTTGAGGAGGACCACAGCCAGCCATCTCTGTCCTCCGCTCACCTGTTTCTTCCCTTCACCATGTCCCCTTATCCCCATGTACAAACTCATCACCTTCCCTTCCCTTGCAGGTGGGGTTGAGCGACCTCAACGTTATCCTTCACTCACCATTCCCCTCGCTTCACCGTATCCTCTTATCCCCTCACTCACATCTCTCTCCCCCCCCCCTAACAGGCGGGGGTGAGCGACATCATAGGGCGTGTGGTGGAGGACCTCAAGGACGAGAGTGGTCCGTCTTTGGCCTTCACTACCATATCCCTCACCTCACCATATCCCTCCCTCGATCACATCTCCCTCTCCACCCACTCCCACCCACTCCCACCCACAACCCCCCATCCTCAGGCGGGGGTGAGCGACATCATAGGGCGCGTGGTGGAGGACCTCAAGGACGAGAGTGAGCCGTACCGGCGCATGGTGATGGAGACGGTTGAGAAGGTGCTCACCAACCTGGGGGCCGCTGACATCGACGCGCGGCTTGAAGAGTTGTTGATCGACGGCATCCTTTACGCATTCCAGGAACAGGTGGGTGTGTGTTTGTTTTGGTGGGGACTTTTTGCTCTATGCATGACAGAGGGTGCATGGTGATGGAGACGGTGGAGAAGGTGCTCACCAACCTGGGCGCCGCTGACATTGACGCACGGCTGGAGGAGCTTCTGATCGATGGGATTCTTTACGCCTTCCAGGAGCGGGTGGGTGATTTGAAGGAGCAGGAGATGCGTGAAGGGTGGTGTAGGCTCGACACATGACAGAGGGCGCATGGTGATGGAGGCGGTGGAGAAGGTGCTCTCTAACCTGGGGGCCACTGACATCGATGCCAGGCTGGAGGAACTACTGATTGACGGAATCCTCCATGCGTTCCAGGAGCAGTTGGGTGGGTGACTGGCAGCAGGTGGTTGCGTATGTGCGTGGGCTAGTGAGGCACATCGCATGGTGATGGAGACGGTGGAGAAGGTGCTCACTAAGCAGAGGGCTGCTGATATTGATGCTCGACTTGAAGAGCTGCTGATCGGCAGCTCTGGTTAGTGAGCACCTTCTCAACCGTCCATCAGGAGCAGGTGAGTGTGTGTGTGGGTGATTAAAGATGTGGGGTGGGTGGGGACAGCAGGTGAGGGGGGGATATCATGGAATATCAGTTAGTCTAGTGAGGCGCATGGTGTTGGAGACAGGAAGGGCGATGGGAAGGCATGAAGCTTGCATGCATGGGGATGGGAAGGCATGAAGCTTGCATGCATGATGTTAAGTTGAGTTGCTGCTTCTGTTCATGCTATTGACGATGTTGTTCTCAATGTCTTTGGCAATGGCAGGCAACGGCAACAATCGGCTCATGCTTTGTATGGTTATTTTGTAGCAATAATAACTCCATCCCTCTCTTGGACACATACACCACACCATGATGGTATGGCATTGACGCATGGGTGATGGTGCTGTTGTGCACTGTACATGCATGTGCAATCATGTCTGTGTCATTGCGTGTGAGTGCAGACAAGCGACGACGCGAATGTAATGCTCAACGGCTTTGGCACGGTGGTGAATGCGCTCGGGCAGAGAGTGCGTCCCTACCTCCCCCAGGTCAGTGCCTCCCTCTGCAGTGCAGCTCAGCATTTATATCCGCTGTGGATGCAGCTAGTTCTCTGTAGCCTTAGCACCCCTGTCTACTGTGACCACTGTTTGCTCTCTTGTCTCTGCAGCGTCCACAGGTCCTTTGCTCGTCTCTGTTTCTCCCCTCCATTTTCGTCGCCTCTTTTTCCCTTCCGTTTTCCCTGTCTGTGTTTCAGATCTGTGGAACGGTGAAGTGGCGGCTGAACAACAAGAGTGCCAAGGTGCGGCAGCAGGCAGCGGATCTGATAGCGCGCATTGCCGTGGTCATGAAGGCGTGCGGGGAGGAGCAGCTTATGGGGCACCTGGGCGTCGTGCTTTACGAGTACCTGGGAGAAGGTGAGTCGGGTCCATGGTGTGGCACAGTGCAGTGCGGTTGAGTACACTGCAATGTGATTCAATGCGGTGCAGTGGCATGTCGTGCATGTAGCAAGAGTGCGGCAGCAGGCGGCGGACCTGATAGCGCGCATTGCCGTGGTGATGAAGGCGTGCGGGGAGGAGCAGCTCATGGGGCACCTGGGCGTCGTGCTCTACGAGTAGGGATGAGCATAAGGCGAACGCGAACATGTTCGCGTTCGTCTTAGCTCGAACAGGGCTGTTCGGCGAACCGAACTCACCAGAAAGGGTGTTCGAAGTTCGCCCATAGAGGCGAACATTTCGAACGTTTTGGCGAACACGAACACGTTTGCCGAGAACATGTTCGTGTTCGCTTTAGAGGGGTAGCACTACAATTCTATAGATTTAACGGTGGAAACCACTTCAACGGTGGTGCAAACCCTAAAAGTACAGACGAATCTTCAACCTTGGAGTAGATGCTACGTTCTTAGTGTTGAACATCGAAGTCACCATAAACCCTAAACGCCATAGTTTTATAAGTACGGTCTTGGGCCTATGCTACTACTAGAAGGTGTGGGTGTGGTTGGTGGTTGTGGGGTGGGCGGGCTGTTGGGAGCGCCATGGTTGACAAGCTGAAAAAAATGAGCAACAATTGTGAGGGCCGCGACCCTAAATTAGGTCGCGGCACTTTCAGCGACGAACATTTTAGGTGTTCGTCGACAAGTGTGTTGAACACGAACATGTTCGCGTTCGACGCGCCTCAGGACATCGCGGCCGGCGAACAGCGAACATATTCGCCCGAACGTCGAACATGTTCGGGACGAACATTTTCAGGCAAAAAAAAAATCCCGTTCGGTTCGTCTCGAACATGTTCGAGACGAACCGAACGGGTGTTCGCCAATATGCTCATCCCTATTTACGAGTACCTGGGAGAAGGTGAGTAGAGTAGGATATGGTGTGCATGGTGCAGTAAGGTGCAGTGTGGTGCAGTAGAATAATAGAGCAGTGGTGATGAAGGCGTGCGGGGAGGAGCAGCTCATGCGACATCTGGGCGTCGTGTTGTGCGAGTACCTGGGAGAAGGTATGATGCAGTGTAGTGTGGTGCAGTGTGGTGTGTATGGTGTGGTCTGGTGGTAACATAGAGCTGTGCTGATGAGGGCATGTGGGAGGAGCAGCTGATGGGGCACCTGGCTGGGCATCGTGTTATACGTGTACCTGGAATGTGGGTTGAATTCAGTGTGTCATGGTTCAGTGCGGTTCAGTGCGGTGTCATGCGTTCAGTGGAGCAGCTCACGGGGCACCTTGGTGTGGTGTTCGCGAGTACCTGTAGGTAGGTACCATGCGGTAGGGCTCGGTGTCATGCGGTGCAGTCCGATGAAGTGTCATGCATGCAGTGGAGCAGCTCACGGGGCACCTGGGCTGGCTCACGTGATTGGCATGATCAAAATGACTCCCCCTCCCAATTGTTGCTGATATCCACACACCACACCTATGTGACACACTCTCTCGCCCTCTCCCTCCCTCCAGAGTACCCCGAGGTGCTGGGGTCCATCCTGGGCGCGCTCAAGGTCATAGTGAATGTGATTGGCATGACCAAGAGGTTCCCTTCCACCCCTTGCTGCTCATACCCACACATTAATGCCCACCCCACCTGTGTCACTCTCTCTCCCAACTGTGCCATGCCCCTTCCCCTCCCTCCAGAGTACCCCGAGGTGCTGGGGTCCATCCTGGGAGCCCTCAAGGCCATAGTGAACGTGATCGGCATGACCAGGATGTTCCTCCCCTTGCTACTCCTTCCCACACGCACATCACAACACACCAATGCGCCATGCACTTGTGCCACCCTCTCTCTCTTCCCTTAATCCCTCCAGAGTACCCCGAGGTGCTGGGGTCTATCCTGGGAGCGCTCAAGGCGATAGTGAACGTGATCGGCATGACCAAGATGACTCCTCCCATCAAGGACCTGCTGCCCCGCCTCACGCCCATCCTCAAGAACAGGCACGAGAAGGTAAGTCGCCGTTGTTTTGTTCTTCCTTCACACGAATTTGGGCTGCATATGTGGCCCGCTCCGCTCCTCCCCCCCCCTCCCCTCTCCCCCAACCCCACTGCCAGGATAAAGCATTTCGTTGAGTAGTGGGATGCATTGCAGGCTCACAGGCTGAACCATCCTTCCTTCAATCCGTGTCCTCTCCTGTGTGTGGTGCAAACACCACCCTACTGCCACCATCATTCCCACCACCACCTCACCAAACCCCGCTCCACCCACAGGTGCAGGAGAACTGCGTCGATCTGGTGGGACGCATTGCAGGCACACAGGCTAAACCTCTGGTTTCACCCATCCTTAACACGCCGCCTCCTCTCTCCCCTGACCCCTTCCCCCCCTCCCTTGTCTTCCACCAACACTATTCCACCCCACAGGTGCAGAAGAAGTGCATTGCAGACAGACAATCTGAACCCTCCTCTCTTCAATCCGTCTCTCTCCCTGTATGTGTGTTGCCAACACCACTCACACCACCCCCATACGACTTTCCCACCACCCCGCACTACCATTCGCAGGTGCAGGAGAATTGCATCGACCTGGTGGGGCGCATTGCGGACAGGGGAGCGGAGTTCGTGCCGGCGAGGGAGTGGATGCGCATCTGCTTTGAACTGCTCGACATGCTCAAGGTGCGTGACTGGGATAGACCGTAGGGTGGAGATGGGTGTGCTTAAGGTGAGGCGGAGGGAGAAAAAAAATCGCTCCATTGAGCAGCGAGGGAGTGGATGCGCATGTGCTTTGAGCTGCTGAACATGCTCAAGGTGCGAAGGGAGGGGGTGAGAGGGGTGTGGCCAGGGAGTTAAGGAGAATGGATGAGGAAATCGCGGCATAGGTTAGGAGTGAGAGGCAATTACGCACGAGGGAGTGCATGCGCATATGCTTCGAGCTACTGGACATGCTCAAGGTGTGTGAAGCGTGAGGAGAGCGGGCTTGGTCAAGGTGATGGATGGTCAGGTGGAGGGGGCTATGCCGGTGTGGGAAAGTGCGAGCATGGGTGCAGTACCAGGTAAACAGGTGAGGGAAAAGATGCTGTTATGCTTACAAGGTGGTGATAGTGGTGGTGGTAGTGCTGCTATGAGTAGTGGCGACTGCCACAGGGCAGGGCGTCTCCCAAATGTTCTTGAGATGCTGCTCCAAATCCGTTTCTCTCCTGCTGCCCCTCTTTATTTTCCCCTCTGCCCTCTCTTCAGGCGCACAAGAAGGGAACCCGGGGAGCCACGGTGAACACCGTTGGGTACATTGCCACATGATAAGAGTGTAGTTTTGAGACGTCTCAAAACATCGCCAAGGCCATCGGCCCACAGGATGTGCTGGCAACGCTGCTGAACAACCACAGGGTGCAGGAGCGGCAGAACAAGGAGCGGCAACCTATCTTCTTCTCTCACCCTGCTGGCCCTTCCCTCTCCCCCAGGCACACAAGAAGGGAGTCAGACGTGCTACAGTGAAAACCTTTGGTTACATCGCCAAGGCCATTGGCCCTCAGGACGCGCTGGCAACGTGGCTCCTCCCTCTCTTACCCTGCTGCGCCCAATTCCCCCTCCCTTTTCTACTCCCTTTCAGGCACACAAGAAGGGAATTCGGCGTGCCACGGTGAACACCTTTGGGTACATCGCCAAGGCCATCGGGCCCCAGGACGTGCTGGCGACGCTGCTGAACAACCTCAAGGTGCAGGAGCGGCAGAACCGCGTGTGCACCACCGTGGCCATTGCCATTGTGGCTGAGACCTGCTCGCCCTTCACTGTGCTGCCTGCCCTGATGAACGAGTGAGTGCCGCATGTAGCAACAATAGCTGATCAGACTCTGCTTTTGAGGTGCCTCGAAAGCAACTGCTGGGCAGGATTGAGGTGAGTGATGGTGGTGCTGAACAACCTCAAGGTGCAGGAGCGGCAGAACCGCGTGTGCACCACCGTGCTCTTGTTGCTGAGACCTGCTCTTCCTTCACCGTGCTGCCTGCTCTCATGAGCGAGTGAGTGCTGCTTTGATGAAGACAATGAAACTGTGAAGCAGAGGGGTGACTGTTTTGTTCATCTGATTCTTTCCAGTCAAACATGGTTCATCGTTTCTTTTTGCTTCCCCTCAGCCGAAGCCAAACGTGCAGAACGAAGGGATCAGGCCTTTATGCTGTCCATCCCCCAACCCCTTCTCACCCTTATCCTCTCCTGCCTCTCGCTCTTCTCCCTCCCACCTCTCAGGTACCGAGTGCCAGAGCTGAACGTGCAAAACGGGGTGCTCAAGTCGGCATGTTTCTGAGCCTTCTTACTCTTCTCCTCTCCCACCTTTCCCGCCTCTCCTCTTCTCTCAGGTACCGAGTGCCGGAGCTGAATGTGCAGAACGGGGTGCTCAAGTCGCTGTCGTTCCTGTTTGAGTACATCGGCGAGATGGGGCGAGACTACATCTATGCCGTCACTCCGCTGCTGGAGGATGCGCTCATGGATCGAGACCTGGTGCACCGACAGGTGGGTAGTGTATGGTAGGGTGTGTGTGGGGTTAGGGGGCCCAGACAGTAGTTATGAGTCCGTCTCGCTCTTGCATGTGCTTTCCACCGACCGTCTTTGGAGTCAAACCACTGCTCTCGCATTTGTTCTTTCATCTGGCAACCCGAATTTTGTTTGAACCGAACATCTCCTCTTCCGCTTACTTGTGTTTCAGACGGCAGCATCGGCAGTGATGCACATGACGCTGGGAGTGGCAGGGCTTGGTTGTGAAGATGCTCTGGTGAGTCCTCTGTCTGCTGGTCGGGCATGCTATCGACCAGGCTCCTTGTCCATTAGGCTTGTTGGCCATCAGGCTCCTTCCCCGTCAGTCACATGGTCCACGCCTTCTTGCTGATTTTGACCTGTCCCGCCCTTCTTACTGCGCATCTCGTTAGTGTTTATTCCTGATTTTTGCTCAACTATTATCTCGGCTAGGTGTTTCAATAATTACCTTACTGGTTCATTCATGTTTGTTATGCAGATTCACTTGCTAAATCTGGTGTGGCCCAACATCTTTGAGACATCGCCTCACCTGATTCAAGCAGTCATGGGAACCATTGACGGCATGAGGGTGGCTCTGGGCCCTGCGCTCGTGCTTGGCTATGTCCTGCAGGTATGCAGCTTTTTATGTTGTCATCAGCATGTGCCAGGTTTGCTGGGTCGTTCCATTGTTGCATACATGTGGTTCTCTTGCTATAGAGCAAGGATTGTATTTCAAACTAGCTTGTCCTTGTTGTAGACTTTAATCTTAACCCCTTATCTTCCCTGTTTGTTTTCCATGCAGGGTCTATACCATCCAGCTCGTAAGGTGCGTGAGGTGTATTGGCGTATCTACAACAACCTGTACATTGGTGCACAAGATGCCCTTACGGCTGCATACCCACGCCTGCCTGACGAGCCGAACAATACCTACACTCGAGCGGAGCTTGACATGTTCATCTGATGCACGTTTGTAGAGACCAGAGCTGGTTGGCTATAGGTGGTTGCACGGCAAGCGCAAATGCTTGGTGTCAACTGGTGTCATTTTACGAACCAACTTTGAATGATGATAGTGTGGAGCAGCGATCAAAGCTTTGCATCAGAATCTACTGTACTGTTGTAATCGGCTTGCTGTAACACTGCATTTGTGACTGACCCTTCATGTTAAAATACAGTAGGAACACAAGAACCATATCTTCATCCGTCAACAGACGTGATGGCTGACAGGCTCAACTCCACACAGGAGGGGCCAGCTCCAGAAGCACAGCGTAGCACAAAATCAGAATCACATATTGTTGGCTCCTGCAAAGCACCAAGGAATTTCGTAAAAGACTGTGATGTGGTCAAGCGAAAGATGATGAAAGGATTGTCACTGTGCTGATCCAGCAGACATGCTCACCCTTCGTTCTGGAGGCAGCATGTTGTGGTGGTGTGCCAGGTTCAACAGCACCATTAGGTATCTCTGTGCTGTCACTGTTCCTGCAGCACTAACCACAGTTAGGAAATGAAGTGACCTCTCAACAAAGGATTGTGATTTTGATGCATTACCTTTTGCAGCAGTTTGTCCAAGCATGTTTGTTAGGTGATCTCTTCCAAATACTCTCTCTCCGGACTTGACAGCCACAGCTATGTCCTTTTCAAGCTTATGTGAAAGCGCAGAGATGCTTGACGGGTCAGATAAATGCTCCTGCAGTGGCAACATAAACACAAGCATTGTGCACGATGATGACAGCAACATTAACCAGAGTCAAACGATCATCCACCAAAAAAACGTACCGGATATGCATCTCGACTCATCACTTGCTCGATCAGGTCTTGGAGCCTGGGGCGCTTCCCTCGGGCATTACCACAAGAGGAAGTTTCCACAGCTGATGAACCCATGGAACATTGTGGATGAGTTGCAGTAGATTGAGATCCAACTGCCTGTGAACTAGGAGCTGCATGTCCGGTGGACGGAACATAATGACAGGATGCCATTGCAGGTCGTACGAGTCCATCGTTAACGGGAGGTGGTACCGTCTCAATTCTTGTGGGCACAGGAACACTGTTGCACATATCTGCTACTTTTGAAAAACGGTCAGTTCCAGGCATCGGATGAACGTCAGCGTGCCTCGCATCATCACGTAAAAATGATGATCCTGGTTGGTCATGGTCAGCGGCAACTGGAGCAGTGAACGAAACTGGATAGTTGCAGTTTCTTGCAGGATCTGGAGCAGATGCGGGCTGGATGTTCTCAATATGGACCCTTGAATCTCCTGATGTTGGAATCCTAAATGTAGTATTGGTACATGGCTCACCACTTGGCTTGCAATAAGCCACCACTGGCGTAGGTCGCTGAGGTTGATGCATTACAGTTGGACCATCATGATTGGGAGAGTGAACTGGGTCCAGATCCTCCCACCCGCATAAATCCCAGAAATTCTGGTCATTGTGGCCTTCTTCAGGCATCGAGGAACCAGATGGCTCCTGAACTGGGATTTCCAATGGATTGTCAAGGTCTTCAACATATTCATGGATTCCTTCCATCTCAGGCGGTGGAAGTTGGAAAATGTCGTCTTCATATACTACAAGTGACATGTCAGATATCTTGGAGCCTGGAAATCACACAAATTTAGTCACGAGGCCAGGGAAGACAAGAATAGCAATGAAAACAACATACATGAGACAGTGGAGAAGCCAAGGTCGAAACCCCCCTCAATCTGTAGAGCATCATGAAAACATTATTATCACCACGAATCAGAACCACAACTTTTGTACAAAAGTAGCACCATACCACGGAAGGGTCGGAAAACAGCTTCTCACGATACGAAACAATGTCAAATCTTCCTGCACAAGCAAAACAAAAAGCCCTCAATAGAAATGCCAGGAATAAAAATTGCCTTTAAAAGGGAAGTCTCTGAATTTAGAAAATCATTTGCTTTCTCTTTGTAACCCTATCATCACTTACGTCTGTACAGTGAAAGCCTGAACATGTCTCGGTCCATATCGGTATCATCCCACGGATCTGAGGGAATTGGTTCCTCACACTGTTGTGGTGGCATAAGAAGCCTCTCTGCATCACGAATTTGCCTGCAAATTTGACAAGCTCACGATCATCCATTTTCATGGAGAACAGAATGGGCCGTAAGGAATCAACGAAGCTTTGGCTGCACACACGGATTGTGCACAAGCTTGCTTTACTTACCTGCTTTGTCGGGTGGTGCTGCTGGAATCAGCCTCTCGAAACTTTGAAACCACAAGCCGATCGAGGAGGAGGATACTGGGTCCCTGCTGAAGTAGGTTGAGTTGAGAGAGCATGAACAGCTAAATATGTGGCACAAACCCCAAGAATCATACCTTGTCAACCGCTGGGGCCTCCTCAGCTTGTATTGAATTATCTGGTGGGCCACTTCCATCCACAGTCATTTCTGCTGGTTGTTCCTCAAATTGGCACTCTGGTGGGCCCATGGGGTCACCATCTGGCTGCTCCATTGGAGTTGACACCACTTTTTCCAGACGTGATTTTCTTTTACCGAACTGTGGCTTGTACAGACCACAGACTTGAGTCACCTCATGATCGCGAGGTTTGACTTGGTCTGCGTCCGGACATTCTGTGATCACGTCAGGGAAAGGCTCAGGAGGTGCATGCCATTGCTCATGTTCTTGAGGCGGGTGCAGCTCTTCAGCAACCACATGCTGTGCATGAGCTTGGACAGGAACCGCTTGTGGGGTCCTTGCCGTCATGGCCTGCCAGGCGTGAAACAATAGCTCAGAGACAGTTGCAGCACACAAGACAACTAGGAAAGCACAACTAAGGAGTCTACCTCCTCTGGTAAGTTAGCATTTTCTGCAGCGCGAGCAGCCTTCTTCGCTTCATGTTCCTCAACAAGCTTATCCACAAGATCAAAGTCGTCGAAGTCACAAATATCATCGAAATCCTTGTCCTCTCCATTATCAGCATCATAGCGCAAGGCTTCCCCGTGCACCTGCAGCATCCAAGATTAATCAATACAGGATTGCGGCTTGCGCCATACTGATGATGAGTATGTTGCACAGCGCAGGTGCGGGCTCCTCCGGTGCAATGGCTAACTTACGTCTGGCTCCAAATTTGGAAAAGAAGTGTCAGATGCAGCCTCGCCATCAAACAGTGACGGAACTTCGATTGGCGCATCATCTTCGGCAGATTCATCATCCAATAGGTCTTCCTCAATGGGAACAACGAGACCTTTATACGGTCTTAGATCAAAATATGTGGGAATGCTTATCTCGGGGTAACCATCATCGTTTCCATGCCAGTCGAGCACTCTTTGCAAACAAAGACTGATGGTTAGAGAGTGTACATGCAGATGCGCCCATAAGTGGCTCATCTTGAAGTTGTCTACCTTGAGATCGTGGATTCCAAGTTCCCAGAGGTGGAAGAGGTTAGGTTGTAACACAATTCGTCCCGCTTGAGAAAAAGGGACTTGTTTTCAGATATTTTACCGATCTGCCAGGGATGTATACCGTCAGTGTGGTTTCAACTGATCTTGATGTTGCGGAATATGTCCAGATTATGGTACATCAAATCAAACTTACTGCACTGGCCACCGCATTGTCCAGGTTTAATTCCAGCACTCCATGATTGTTCCTTCGCTGCGTTGTGGTGTCAATGAAGCTACCAAATTTACCATGTCTGCTCTTCTCTTCACCGCTCACTAGTTGCCCATCCCCGAAAATAGTTTTGTACCGATCGAGATCAGACTCTGACGATTCTTGCCCATTGACGATTCGGGCTGTAAAATGTAGATGCTGTTAGCTGTGAGCATTAAAACGACCTAAGTATCACCACAAATTTGTCCTGACCTGATTTTGTAGGCTTTGAACCAGGCTCCCTAGCTGTGGTCTTGAGCTCACGAACGGCCTCAGTGGTCTTCTTAGACAACACGTCTGTTTCGAATGGAACGCGTCATTGGCAAGAGCCTCCTAGGGTTTCATCAGCCAGCAAAACATGGATACTCGCGTACCTCGCATTGTTCGAATAAGCTGCACGCATGAACGTTGACGTCAGATGCAAGACGGAAAAAAACACTCAAATCATTCATGGGTAGTTTCTTACCTCCGCTCGGACATGAACGTTGGTTGACGCCTCCTCCACGTCAGCCTTAGTAACGACATTTTTCATTTTTCCCTTGTTATCCGCCTGTAAATAAAAGCTTGACATCACTGAACAGGAAAGTGGCCAATATATCGTGCTAAGTATCCATAGCCTTACAATATCAAATGGTGCCAACGCTAGCGAAAGGTACTTCTGATCGAATGGGTTCTTCTTGTGCCTCTTGTGTGCGACATCATCAGCAACTGATAATATTGAATAACGTCGTTCGCCCCCTTCCGCAATTGATGACTGGATTCTGTACTTGACCGCAGGTGGCGCCATGCTCCTAGTCTAAGGAGAAGCGATAGGCCTAGTTTCAAAAATCTTATGTGAGTCACTGATGTTCCTTATCATAGATTCAGGAGAGCTCATGCACAGGTAGCGGCTCGAACAACAGTCAATTCTAGTTTAGCCGCAGTAGTAGTGATAATCGCTTCGATGGTTCTCTAATCCTTCCCCTTCGCCCGACCGTGTTTCTGCAGATTTGTTGTCAGTGCTATGGAATGAGCTAGAAGATTGCAGGCATGAGAGTACGTGCTGTTACTGATAATCCCAGGGACAATCCCAGGGACAGGGTGAAATCGATCTTGTTATGAGTTGTACTAAGAAGAGTGCGCGGAAGACTTAATAAAAAGGATGAGAACTCCAGAATGACGAGAATGATAAAGAAGCAAGCATTTATAGGGTCGAAAGCGTGGTAGGCGAGGACCTCGGGACGTGGATGGGTTGGAAGTGTCGCGAATGGTGCGGGGCGACTCGGAAGTGGTTCGGGCCGAAGTGTAGGCCGAACCCAAACTGACGCGAACAGTTCGGGCTGTCCTCGCTAGGAGTAGCCTCTACAGTAATGAATTCACATTCATTACACTCTCCCACCTTCTAAATAAGGTGTCCTTATACGTAGGCGAGTCTTGCAGTAGCGTGAAAACTGCAGATCTCGGTCGAAAACCGATCTGACGGCGCGGAAGCATGTTGACTTTCGAGTTGACGCGTGGCTGAATGCATTGACCAGACGAATTTCAAAGAGTTGGAATGTCAGCCGTTGATACTGAAGATGTCGATCGGGCGGTTGAAAGCAAATGTCCTTGTGAAATCGTTCGACGAAGGAAAACCGTCGATGTCGCGGATGTGTATCGGATGGTTCTGGTGAATGTCATGTCGGCGGGAATTCTGACGCGTTGTCAGAGATCGATGAATCTGGTTCCGTCGATGCCGATGAAGCCATCGCGGGCGTCCGTCGTGCTGGGTGTGTCAAACGAACTGTCAGAAATAACTGCCGAAATGTCAGAGGCCTGCCAACAACAGTGCGTGAGCACTCTTTCTCCCCCCCCCCCCCCCCTTGGAAGAGAACTGCTGCCCACCAAAATGTGCACAGCTGCGCGGGCACAAAACCACAGCCCCCCTCACGCCGAGGGTAGGACAGAATACCAAGTGTTATGACCTCCCGCCTGAAATTCAGCCACTGTGTAGTCTAAATTGCTGTCGGTGGCGAAATCTTCACTGTCGAAAACCCCGAAAATGCCCAGGGTAAACTCTGTCGAAGTCCCTTCGAAAGAATATCGTTTTTGCAGGGGCTCGGCATTAAGAAAATCTTCTTGTTGTCTTGTTGTCGCGACTGTTGCTATAGCATCTCTCGTGACTGCTGAGGAAAGTAGAACGAGAATGAGGATGACTAAGGAATGGAAGTGATACAAATATGCAACCCTAGAAATGTGTACCCCATATGGGCTACCCCACTATAACCTACACAATATTATAATTTGACACACCCCCATAGGCAAAGTGGGGGAGAACAAGGGGTCACAAGACCAGTCAAGCAAAGCAGACAAAGCTCAGGGTGGATCACAACGTCACCACACAGTCCGAGCACAAGGTCAAGGCCACAAGGCCAGTTCACATGCAGGAGTACACATATATATATAAGGCTAAACAAGCAAGAGCAGGTATATATATATGTAAGAGTACAAGCAAGGTCAAGGGGTGAGCAAGTGAGGCAAGACAGGCACAAGACCCAGCTGAGTGCAGAAGCGCTGATGATCACAAGGCGGAAGTGCCTTGGTGAAAACATCAGCAGTGTTGGCCTCAGAGGCCACGTACGCAAGTCGCAACTGACCACGCCGCTGCAACTCACGAGCAAGAAAGTAGCGGAGAGCAATGTGCTTCGTTCTGTGCTCCAGGCGCTGCTCCCGACACAAGGCTAGCATGGCCTTGTTGTCTACGTACAGCACCGGAGAAGAACGAGGCGGCTCTCCGAGGTCAGTCAGCAGGTAGGTAAGCCAGCGAAGCTCCTGTGCAGCCATGGCCCCGGCGTAGATCTCAGCCTCACAACTGGAGCCGAGAACAGAAGACGAGCGAGTAGCCCGCCACGAAACAGAGCCGGAACCAAGGCTGAAGGTGTAACCCTGTGACGACCGCTGCGTAGCCTGGTCGTCAGCCCAAGAAGCGTCCGCGTGCCCAGTGAGGACCACTGGACTCCGCCCTCCAAGCACTAGCCCCATGCTCGACGTACTGCACAAGTAGCGTAACACCCTCTTCGCTGCAGCCATGTGCTCTGGTCTGGGTCTCCCAGGAGCAACATAGCGTGCAAGAATGCTAAGAGGGTATGCAAGGTCAGGTCGTGTGCAGGTCATCAGGTACATGAGGCAGCCAACAAGCTCTGGAAACGGGCCACTCGACTCTACGGACTCATCCGAAGGCAGAGCTGAGAGCGAGTGGCGAGTAGACAGAGGAGTGGCCTGAGGCGAGGAGTACGTGAAGCCGAAGCGCTGAAGGACCTATTGCACCATGTGTGACTGGGTCAGGGTAATGGTGCGGCGTGCTCTGTCCCGGGTGATCTGCAAGCCAAGGTAGCTGCGCAGTTCACCCAGGTCTGTGCACGTGTGTCTCTTCTGCAGCTCGGACTTCACGTGGGCGAGTCCAGCAGTGTCACCTGTGGCAAAGACCAAGTCGTCGACGTACACGAGGATGTAGAACGGCGGCAGAGAGGTGTCGGTGCGTAGAAACAGCGACGGGTCAGTAGTAGAGGGAGCAAACCCAAGAGCCGCAAGTGTAGTCCTAAGTGTGTCGTGCCACTCGCGCGGTGCCTGGCGGAGACCGTAGACTGGCCGTCGGAGGCTCCACTGGGTGCTAGGAGGGAAAGTCCCAGTGAAGCCAGGTGGACGGCGCAACCAGATCTCCTCGTGCAGGCTACCCTGCAGGAAAGCAGTGCTGAAGTCAAGGGAGTGAAGCTCGTAGTCACGCTGAGCGGCTACGTGTAGCAGCACCCGAAGAGTGGTCATCTTCGGGGTGGGAGAGAAGGTCTGAAAGTAGTCAACTCCCTGCCGCTGACTGAAGCCACGAGCCACGTACCGCGCCTTGAAGACAGGTGGAGAGCCCGGCGGCCGCTTCACCCTGAAGATCCACATGCCACTGACGATGTTCGCCCCAGGAGGGGGAACCGCGTCAACGTAGGTGCCTGTGGACTTCCAGGAAGCCATCTCTGCATCCATAGCTGCCTGCCAGTGAGAGGAGTAGGGACCCTCTACGGCCTCCGCGTAAGAGCGCGGAGTCGGGATGTCTAGTGCATCCGGGTCTCCCTCAAAGGTAAGCAGTACGGATGCGAGATGAGGTGAAGCAGCAGCCAGACACTGGAACTCCTCCTGCCTGTCCTCAAGGACGTCCGTGCCAAGAGCACACTCACCCCCGACGGACGGAGGACAGACAGACGCAGACTCAGCAACAAGACTAGCAGCGTAGTCTAGACGACAGCGAGCAGCAAAGTCGACGAGCTCAGCAACAAGAGCAGACGCAGCAGTGGACTCAAAGGTTGGGTCAGTGACAACAGTAGCAAGGAGACGCGTGACACTAGGACTGGCAGCACGAAGAGAGTCCGACTCAGGGTCGGCAAGCACAGGAAGAGAGGACTCAGGAGGAGAGGGCAAAGGGGCACGCAGAGGAGCAGTGGACGGACGCAGAGACATCCGGTGCGTGCCAGGGACAGGAGGAGGACGCTGACGCGAACTGCGACCACTAGTGCGAGCAGCACGAACAGGCGACGCAGGACGAGACGCAGGCTCACGAAGCTCAGCAAGACCTCCAGTAGGACCAGTGTACGGAGAAGGAGAAGGCAGTGGGGAGGCCGGCGGTAACTGTGACTGCGACTAGACAGGCGGTGGACACTCTAAGGGAGGAGGAAGACCAAGAACCTGCTGAAGGAGCGGAACAAAGTACGGCCGAGGCCGCGCGGCGACTCCAGACACAGGAGAGACAGCACCAGCACCCCCAGCGGCAGCACCAGCGTCAACAGCACCTCCAGCTCCAGTACCTCCAGCAGCACCAGCAGCACCCGCAGCAGGACCGCCGCCAGGACTGACAGCAGTAGCCTCAGCGCCAACACCCTCAGCAGCTCCGACTCCAGTAGCACTCGCAGGACTAGCACCTCCGAGACCAGCGGCACCAGCACCCTCAGCAGCCGAAGAAGCACCAGCTCCAGTAGTACGCCTCTAGCGCCGGGCAAACCACTCGCGCAGCTCCTTTGGAGAGAGTGGCTCCCGCCGAGACGAAGCACCCGGAGAACCAGCAGGCCCAGCACCGCCAGACGCCACACGAGCAGGTCCAGCGGCTTCGGGCTCCGCACCCCCAGGCTCAGTAGCTCCAGACTCAGCACCCCCAGGCTCAGCAGCTCCAGACGCAGCACCCCCAGGCGAAGGACCCCCAGGCTCAGCGCCCCCAGTCGTAGCACCCCCAGGCTCAGCACCCCCAGTCGCAGCACCCCCAGACTCAGCACCCCCAGGCTCAGCACCCACGCGCGCAGCACCCCCAGAGTTAGCACCCCCAGGCTCAGCACCCGCAGCAGTACCAGAGTCACTAGCAACCTTGACCGGCTCGACTGCATCTACGTGGGACACACCTGAAGGGGCAGGACCCTGAGGGGGGAGGGGGTCTACCGGGGGGGGACCTGGCACAAGGAAGTGCGGTGGCGGGGGGAGGGAAGGAGTGCGGTAGGGGAAGAGGCGGTAGTAGGGTACTGACTCGTCGAACGTGACGTCCTGGGAGGACAGAACACGACGAGAGGTGGGGTGGTAGAACTGCCACTCAAGGGCGTCAGGGGGAAAGCCAAGGAAGACACAGGGAGCAGCACGAGGGGACAGCTTGTCCGCAGACAAGTCGCGGACAAACGCCCGAGATCCCCAGACACGGAACGCAGACGCATCGCCGACCTTCCCCGTCCACAGCAAGGTTGGGGAGGTCTCCGGCCTGGAGACCCTGGGGTGAAGGTTGATCTGATGCGCCGCGTACCGAACCGCAAACGTCCACAGAAAATGGGGGGCAGCCGCATGCATCATGGACGTACGAGTGACGTCCATGACCATGCCAATGCGGCGCTCAGCAATCCCATTTTGCTGTGGAGAGTCCGGAAGCGTAAAGGTCAAGCGGATGCCTCGCGCACGACAGTAGGCTCACAGAAGGCCAGAGGAGAACTCTCCGCCTCGGTCAGAGTGCAGACGCAGAACAGGAAAGTCCGAGCCGATGCTCCTCCTGAGCTGGAGACGAGCTGCGCGGATCCAGTCGATCAACACCTCAGCGACATCACCCTTGCTGCGCAAGGGGAAGACAATGGTGTAACGCGAGTAGTCGTCAACCACCAGCAGGAAGTAGCGCTCGTGACCCTGTCCACGGACGCGGGCCGGGCCCCACACGTCCATGTGAAGCGTCTGCAGCGGGGCCTCTGTCAGGGGAAACTGAGAGGAGTGAGGGGCAGCTCGGAGCCGCCCCTCGACACAGGGGACACAGGAAGGACCAGGCCCCGGAGGAAGGGGAGGGAGGGACCGGGGAAGACCAGAGACAAGGACACGGGAAGCCATGCCTCAGAGACGAGGCAAGGAGGGGTGACCAAGACGGTGGTGCCAGAGGAGAATCTCGTGAGACAGGAGGCAACACAAGCAAGGGGCAGACTCAGGACCAGACCTGGACGCTGCAGCAAACACCTGACCCGACGCAGCTACCTGACCAGACGCAATGACTGGAGGAGACGCAGTGGTCAGTGTGTACAGGCTCGCCCCCGGCCGACGTGTAAGCGTGGCTAGGTGTCGGCCTGTCCGAGCGTCCGTGCAGTGGGTCACCCGCTGACTCGCAGGAGTAAACTGGTGAACCCCCGTATCCTGCAGGTCAGCACCACTCACCAAGTTCGTAGAGAACGAGGGGAGGTAAAGACCAGACAAGGTGCCAGAGGGGGCAGCCGGACACGGGAGGACAGTGGAGAAGTGAGAGAGGACAGGACCCCCAGAGGGGTCTGCCAGGGAGACTGTAACTGGCCGACCAAGCGGCGTGAGTGTGGTGCGGTCTCGAAAGAAGGAGCGAGAAGCCCCTGAGTCAAGTGTGAAGGTGAGGGAGGCCGAAGCCGACGTGGTACCTGAGAGCGCAGACTCACCAGCACGTGAGGGCGTGGACGCACTAGCACCTAGAGCAGCAGCCTCACCAGTACCTAGAGCAGCAGTACCAATGCCCGGGTCGGGCGGGAAACACCGGTAACAGTCACCCTCATCACTAATAGTCACAGCATACATGGCAGCAATGATAGCATCAAATTCAAGATCAAAGATAGCTACGCGTGCCCTAGACAGCTCTCCCCAGCGGGGGATCTCACTAGCCTCCGGGAACTGCTGACGCCAAGCGTCCGTCAGGCGGCCAAAGCAGCGCTGGGTGGGGTGAGAACCCCCACACTGCTCACCCGCGCGGTCGCCGGAGCGAAGGACGTAGGTGCACGGGCCAAAACCCCCACCACGCTGACGCTGCGTGTACCACTCACGGAGCTGTTGAGGAGGGGGGATGTCCCGAGAACGCTGCTCCTGCTGCTGCTGCTGCTGGCGCTGACCACTCCCGGAGCCGCTCCGCTGAGAAGCACCACCCCGACCAGCTCCACCTCCTCCACCACCGCCGCCTCCACCTCCGCCGCCACCGCCGCCTCCGCTCCCACCGCTACCGCCACCGCCGTCTCCGCCTCCGCCGCTGCCACCACCACCTCCACCCCCGCCACCACTCCCACCGCCACCCCCACTCCCCTCGCCGCCCCCACCGCCACCTCCACCACCCCCGCTAGCCCCACCCGCGCCCTTGCCCCCTTTGCCCTTGTCAGAGCGGCATCTCACGCTAGGGGCAAACGCCGCACGGACCGACTCAAGACCAACGAGGTCGGCCGCAGCAGTAGAGGCGACAGAGGGCAACAGGGGGGAAGGGGAACACCCCTCAAAGATGGGGGTGCGAGGGTCACCACGAGAGGCTCCTACAGCGACTATGCTCTTCTCCGCCGCTAGGAGGGCCTTCTCTAGGAGGTCAACAGTGAGAGTGGTGGGACAGACTGAGAGGAAGTGGTCCTTGACTACACGAAGGGAGTCAGGGAGGCGGGTGACTATATAATAGAGAGTGATGTACATGGGGGGGGGGGTTCTTGGCGCAGAACTCAGCAGGAAGCGCGGCGCGGTAGCGAGTGTCACTAGTGCGGAGGTGCGTAATGAGGTAAGCGACTGTGGGAAAGGCAGCAAGGTTAGGAAAGAGGTAAGGTAGCATGAGGCGGCTCAGTGCAGCAGTGGCAGGGGAGGAGTAGCGTGCAACGACAGCGTCGTACAAGGTCTGAGCATTCTTGTACTGGCTAAAGTGCGCGCGCTCAGTGGTAGGCAGGTGGCGACGCACAGCAAGACGTGCAGCAGCATCGTGAGTGGCCCACTGGGAGCGAACAGTGGCGTCGGCATCGGCAGTAGGGGCAGGGGAAGCACCAGAGGTGAGGTCAAAGAGGAAAAGACCGTCTGCCCTATCGCACTGTAGGAAAAGCTGCAAGTCATCCACCCAAACCTCAAAGTCAATGGCTCGACCCTCAGCGTCAAAAGCGAGAACACTGGGGGTAGCCATGATTACAGTGGACTAGCAGTACCAACTGTAGGAGAGGGGCAGTGCAGTGACAGAAGCGCTGCTCTCACCAGGCAGGGCGGGTTGGGCAGCTCAGCGGTACAGCAGCACGGCAACACGGCTGCTCGGACGGCATTGCAGCAACTGCGGCTCCGTGGCACTAGCGGCTCGGCTCCTCAGGCTGCTCGGGCGGCTCAGGCGGCTCGGGTGGCTCGGGCGGCTCGGGCGGCTCGGGCGGCTCGGGCGGCTCGGGCTGGTCGGGCGGCTCGGGCGGCTCAGGTGAGTCGGGCGGCTCGGGTGGCTCGGGCAGCTCGGGGAGGTCGGGCGGCTCGGGAGGCTCGGGCGGTTCGGGCGGCTCGGGCGGCGCGGGCGGTATAGGGTGGCAGGGCCGCAGGTGCGAGGGGCGGCTGGGCCGCTGAGAAGGGCGGCGAGGCCGCTGCGGAAGGGCGGCGGGGCCGCTGAGTAGGGCGGCGGGGCCGCTGAGCAGGGCGGCGGGGCCGCTGAGGAGAAGGGCGGCGGGCCGCTGAGTAGGGCGGCGGGGCCGCTGAGGAGAAGGGCGGCAGGGCCGCTGAGGAGAAGGGCGGCGGGGCCGCTGAGTAGGGTGGCGGGGCCGCTGAGGAGAAGGGCGGCGGGGCCGCTGAGTAGGGCGGCGGGGCCGCTGAGGAGAGGGGCGGCGGGGCCGCTGAGTAGGGCGGCGGGGCCGCTGAGGAGAAGGGCGGCGGGGCCGCTAAGTAGGGCGGCGGGGCCGCTGAGTAGGGCGTCGGGGCCGCTGAGGAGAAGGGCGGCGGGGCCGCTGAGTAGGGCGGCGGGGCCGCTGAGGAGAAGGGCGGCGGGGCCGCTGAGTAGGGCGGCGGGGCCGCTGAGGAGAAGGGCGGCGGGGCCGCTGAGTAGGGCGGCAGGGCCGCTGAGTAGGGCGGCGGGGCCGCTGAGGAGAAGGGCGGCAGGGCCGCTGAGTAGGGCGGCGGGGCCGCTGAGCAGGGCGGCGGGGCCGCTGAGGAGAAGGGCGGCGGGGCCGCTGGGTAGGGGCGGGGCCGCAGCGACGGGCGGCGAGGCCGCGGAGACGGGCGGCGGGGCCGCGATGCGAGGCGACGGGGCCGCTGTGACGGGCGGCGGGGCCGCACTAAAGGGCGGCGGGGCCGAAACGAAGGGCGGCGGGGCCGCTAGGGGAAGGGGCCGCTAGGGCGGCTCGGCGAGGTGAGAGCCCGGAGCGCGACTCGGGCAAAGCGCGCTTCGGGCAGGAGAGAATTTTTTTTTTTTTTTTAACTCGATGTGGTGGGCCCTATGTCAGAATGTCTTCTTATGCTCTAGCCTGTAGTGGGGTGCTCTATAGCGAGTACAACCCTTCTAGGGTTTCCTATTTGTATCCCCATTCTTGCTAGTGCAGTCCTCTTCTCTCTTCTAAATTTCACATGCTATCAGAGCAAATCAATCCCCTTGGATCGATCCTGTGGGTGGACTTACCACCTCGTTGCTTCCGCTGCAACTCCTACTGCTACTGCTATCACTACTCTCTGTGCCGCACGCCCCGTGGCGTGCGGCAGTTTTTCATCCCGCCGTGCGCCCCGAGGTGCGCGGCGGTTTTCTGCCCGCCGTGCGCCCCGAGGCGCGCGGCGGTTCTCTTCCCGCCGTGCGCCCCCAGGCGCGCGGCGGGTTACTGCCCCGTCACACCGCGCGCCGCTCCTGGGAGGCGCTGCGACGGGCGACGGGGACCTCCGCGTCGCCCCCCGTCGCCCGTCGTGGCCTGCGCACGGCCCGTACAGCCTGCGCGCGGCACGTACGGGCCGCGCCAGACCCGTCCGCGGCCCGTACGGGCCGCGCCAGGCCTACGCGCGACCTGTACGGGCGGCGCCAGGCCCGCGCGCGGCTCGGGCCGCCTGCGCGCGGCTCGGGCGACCCTACCTGCGGCCCTGGCCCCGGCCCCGCCGCCCTACCTGCGGCCCCGTCGTCCCGTCGCCCTACCTACGGCCCGGCTCCGTCGCCCTACCTACGGCACCGCCCCCCCCCCCCCCCCCCCCCCCTTTTCCCGTCGCCCGTCGCGGCTCCTTCGGGGGCCGCGACCTGGGGGGTGGCGGGTGTGTAGTCTCCCCTGCTCCTCCTCCTCCTCTGTCTCCCACTGCTGCAGCTACCGCTGAGGGGGGTGGGTGTGTGGGATTTGACGGAGTGGTGCTAGGGGGTGGGGTGAGAGTGGAGCTAGGGGTGTAGCAGCGGCTGTGTGTTAGGGGGAGTGGGATCGTTTGGGGAAGCTGAATGGAGGTTGCCGTCGTGTCGCCAGCAGCACCTGTATTCCGGGGACTTCGTCCGGTAGCCCTGTCGTAGCCAGCTGTGCCAGCCGCCCGTGGGTCCGTTGCTCGTCTGCCGCTACTTTAGCCGCGGGGCCAGTTACTCCAGTATTCCGGAGCGTTGTTCCGGTAGCTGCTGTGCCAGTGTGCCTCCTGTTGCCCGTGTGTCTGCAGCTTCATCCGTCGCCTCCTATCTCCTCTCCTCTCACTCTCTCTCCTCCTCCTCACTTGCCCGTTGTGACTACCACTAGCTTTGCTCATAATTGTTAACTTTAAACTATTGCTTCTTGAACTTGTGCTCAGAATGTGTGGTGACATTGTGATCCACCCTGAGCTTGTACTGCTTTGCTTGCTCTGCTGATTACACCCCACTTTGGCTATGGGGGTGTGTCAGAATGTCTTCTTATGCTCTAGCCTGTAGTGGGGTGCTCTATAGCGAGTACAACCCTTCTAGGGTTTCCTATTTGTATCCCCATTCTTGCTAGTGCAGTCCTCTTCTTTCTTCTAAATTTCACACCCTAGGCACAGTTCCCAAGGTAGAACCTGCTCGATACCATGAGGAAAGTAGAACGAGAATGAGGATGACTAAGGAATGGAAGTGATACAAATATGCAACCCTAGAAATGTGTACCCCATATGGGCTACCCCACTATAGCCTACACAATACTATAATTTGACAACTGCCACCTCGTAATCCCACGCGTGGCAGTATCGAATCACTTTATTGCTGTCCAATCTCCAGTTGGCAGCTGCTGCAATCCCGAATTGCTGCTGCCGTTTGGCTGGTTGCTGTGGCGAAAATCTTCGCTGTAGTGTTCCAGCTGACGGCGCCCTCGGCAGTTTTGTCCAGACTCGCCCGGGCCTTTGTCGCGTTGCTCCGAAAACTCCCGGGCAGGGACGAAAACAGCTGCTGCTCTTCCCCCTAACCCCGCAAATATTTTTCAAAGTTGAAAACTCGAACTGTCGATGACGTCAGGTACCTCGGGTGTTGTCGTGACTCGCCGAAGACTTCGGGGCCGAGGCGAAAAAGCTGTCCTTCCTCCCCCCCACCTGTTGTGATACATTTCACCAGTGTTGCGGCTGGTACCCCTGAAACTCTGCAGATTTTGCCACCATGAAGTTCACCACAGCAGTATTCGCGCGCTTAACCCAGCGCCGCCGCAACTCCGCCGTTGTCGCAAAATTGTCGGCCGTCACCGCCGAACTCATGTAAAGACCCAGCTCCCAGTACTGCTGCTGAAACCCGTAAGTGTTGGTGTTGAAATTTCTCGTACGTCTTGGTCACCTGCAGGTTATCCCCTTGAAGAACCGGTGTATCTAGCGTGCCCACCCGTCACCATTTTTATTTCCTGCGATTAAGCACACTAGCCACCCACCAACAGGAGGTGCTTTTTGTGCGGAACCCAGAACTATGGGTCTACCGGGACCGAATTTCACGGAACCTAGCCCACATCGACGCCGCAGATCTCGCTGTAGAATTTCCCCAGATGGCTTCGAAGTACACCATAAACCGCTGAAACAGCTGGCGAGCAGACGTTCACCCGTCTCCCACCATTGGAATAAAACCCCGAAAATCATGGTTGTTGAAGAAGTCCCGAAGTATTTTCTGCCGCGTAACCCCGACGCTTCCGCCGTTAACCCTGGACTCCGACGTCACCCGTCTTCGCACCCGTCGAAATTACTTAGCGAATCCCTGGTATCCTTGGCGATACACCGCTCGCCGCGCCTCCATGTAACAATATCAAACCCTTTCGGGGGTCTACCGAATAGACTCCGAAATTCGCGGTGGATTGGTGTACGGGCTCAACCTTTCACTCTGGAGATCTGCTGGGAGTGTCTGAACATATAGCTTACTTATTTGTGTAGGCTATAGTGGGGTATCCCATAGGGGGTACAACCCAATTAGGGTTTCCTATTTGTACTCACTTCGTTCATAGTCATTTCATTCTCGTTCTATTCTTCTCATGGTTTCGAGCAGGTTCCCCTGTGGGAACTATGCTTAGGGCCCACCACTACCTCGAACTTTTTTTTTTTACCCGGAGCGCGCTCCGGGCTCTCTCTCTTACCTCTGTCGACCGGCCCTTAGCCGCCCGCGCGCCGCCCGTTCAGGCCTCACGCCGCCAACGCGCCGCCCTAGACGCTAGCGCGCCGCCCGTCCCGGCCCCTGTGCAGCCCGCGCGCCGCCCTTAGCAGCCCGCGCGCCGCCCTTAGCAGCCCGCGCGCCGCCCTAAGCAGCCCGCGCACCGCCCTAAGCAGCCCGCGCGCCGCTCGCCCGGCCCCAGGCCGCCCACGCGTCGTCCGCGCGCCGCCCTTAGCCGCCCGCGCGCCGCCCGCCAGGCCTCTAACCGCCCACGTGCCGCCCGTGCGCCGCCCTTAGCCGCCCGAAGCGCAGCCCGTGAGCCGCCTGTGAGCCGCCCGTGAGCCGCCCGTGCGCCGCCCGTAGCAGCCCGAAGCGCCGCCCGTGAGCCGCCCGTGAGCCGCCCGTGAGCCGCCCGTGAGCCGCACGTCAGCCGCCCGTGAGCCGCCCGTGAGCCGTCCGTCCCGGCCCCGAGCCACCCGTGAACCGCCCGTGAGCCGCCTGTGCGCCGCCCGTGAACCGCCCGTCCCGGCCCCGAGCCACCCGTGAGCCGCCCACCCCGGTCCCGCTCCCAGCCGCCCTCGCGCCACGCTGTCCCGGCCCTTCGACGCCCGAGCCGCCCGTGCCACCCGCGTCACCCGAGCCGC